CACATCTCCATTTGGTTCTCTCCCATCACTTTCATCCGGATGCACAACTTTCCACAGGAATTCATTCTCCCTTCACATGATCTTCTTCATGTCACCGTCGAGCTCCCAACTCGTTTCCTATTCGAGTTCCACTGGGGGTCCTGGAGTCTGATTTCACTCAGTGTGTATCTAGTGCACTTTTATTTGTGGGCAACAGTTTCTCGATTGGTTCGCTCCCTGACAGAGTTCCCTTTTGCTTATCCCTTCTGGTCTTCCGTATCGAGCTAGCGAAGGCAGCGGTCGATGAAACTTTGTTGGAAATGGTTTCGCTGACGCGTGTATCTAATCTCTATACCACATAGAAGCAGCGACCTGACATTGGTGTAGAAGATTCGAATGCTGTTTCATGTCCTAAATGCTGCGGATCTCCACACCAAACTGATTTCAGACTAATGAACGCGTTTTGCCTCGACATCCTCTTCGTTGCTGCTTGTCTGTAGTTGAAACGATGCTTCTTACATAAGGGAAGGAGACAATTTCCTTCACATTCCTCTCATTAATGTGGATTATTGTTGTTAGTTGGGCATCTTTATAACCTTCCTCTTGTCTCGTTTACTTGAGGTCCTGCCTTTTCTAATGACTAGTTGGTTTTCACTCGAATATATATATTCGAATTTGAGCAACAAGGTCAAGATCTTCTAGGGTTCATTTTGTCGGTCCAACGAATAACCATCTTCGAACTCCCCACAGTCTGTCATATGAGCCAATCCACCAAAATCAGCATGATCATTGGTGGTACTAAGCAGCTTTGTCTTTCTCCTGTTTTCATTTTAAGGTTTTTGCTTCCTGTTGTGAATTACGGGAACAACATTACTGAAACAACAACCGTTACTTGGCAAAAAAATAAAAAAAATAATAAACATGGGACAATTGCTCATTGAATTTCCATTAGAGGGACGGAGTTTGTATAGTTGTTCACAAAGTAGCTGCGCCCATCCACTCAGGACACCAACTTATATGAAGTTCATGTTTCGAAACTATAGGATATCAGGACGGAAATTTTGTGTTCTTCTAGACGCTACCCTTAAATCATTATTATAATAAACAGAATAAAGCAAAATGTAGCAGCACGAACTTTTACTATCATTAATATTTAAATGGCTGGCTGGCCTTCGGAGTTTTATTGAGATGGTCTATCTTTTCTTCCTTCACGTTCCCAGTAGAACATAGGGCCTCAAGCTAATGGCTTGAAGTTTCTGTAGCAGTGTTTAATTTTTTACAGCATGGGGTTGCTAGCCTCATGCCCAACCTTTCCTCTTTACCAGCATTATTTTTGGCTTAGCGAGGTAAAGGAGTGCGTCGGCCGGGGATCGAACCCCACACTATGTGCATGGTTGGTGAGCGTCCTAACCACTGTGCCACCGACGCAAACCTGAGAGTATTCGACAGCTGTTTCATCAGCCTAGTTTGGGACACTTCGTCAGTACGCACCCACTGGGGTTTGAACCCAGAACCTTCCGGTTACTAGACGAGCTCGTTTTAGGTTCTCGGTGGCACAGTGGTTAGGATTTTCGCCGACCATGCACATGGACCGAGGTTCGAACCCCCGCCGACGCACACCTGATATCTATGGTCGTCCTGCAAAATATGGGCTACCGATATCCATGCTGAAAATTCCATACTTGTACCAAAAATACAGTGTGGAATCAAGCTGTAAATCAGAAATAAAAATTTAAAAAAAATAAAAATACTTGCCTTTGGAGCATATTGCTTTCAGACGTTAGCGGCCATAAGTGACAATATTTGACTGTCTTCAACATGACAGCTTACTTCACAGATTCACACTTGATGATTTCACTGATCACGTTTTGGCTGAAGATGGGATCAGAAGATTGACCTCGCTGAGTCCAACTTTGAAAGTGAACACTCATGAAACCCGATAGGAATACTACTACTACTATCCACCTGACGAGTCCCAACTAGGACGAAATATAAGTCCTGGAGTTCACTCCTGTTTATCTATCGTTTCTAAGAACATTCAAAATTCCTTTACAAATAGGAATTCATACATTTGGTTCCCTTGATAAATTTCGATAAAAAAAGACGTTATTTGCAGTATAAAATGATATCATTCATCTGAAATACATCATAGCAGACTTTTAGTGTATACAATGATACAGAAAACCACTTTGATCAGTTTCTAACATCTCTCCAACATATTTATTTCCCATTGTGGATGAATTTGTAAGTAAGTGGAGGGGCAATACAAAAAGTCTAAAATAAATAATTTATGACACACTTTACTAACCAAATACAGGTTGACAAGCCAACAAACAGAAACACTGACATCACATTAAGGCAATGTACATCACTGACCAATTGGTTAAAATAAAATTCGAAAGTCTAGTCCGGAGAACAAATCTACTGGAGTGTCACTTAACCCCTGTGAGTTATTTTCAGTCTCAAAAATAAATTTTCTAACATCACGATAAGCTTGCTAAAGGAAACTTTTGCATGAACACAAACTGAGAATAATAACAGGAATAGATACAGAAGGACAACAATGAGTAGTGAAAACCAAAACGCACCTGACAGTTATTATTACACCTTACATATGATTAGATCCAGGACCATTGGATGTTTTTTTTAACAACAGTAGCCTATCCTTCATTCGTTGATCAGCCATCTAGTGGCAATTAGCCATACAGACTGACACATATCCCATCTAACTTTTAAGTTGAAATTGGGATACTTGATTCACACAGTAATATTTAATGATGACGTTTCGAGCACAAATTATTGCCCCTCATAATCAAGTCGCTCACTCACACAACTTTTTCCTTGATTTATATACATGTGTGGAACTGATATAAGTTTAAAACTTGGGCACTGTGGTAGAGTGTAACTCCATTATGGATAAGATTTTATTTTGATTCATCACACAGTGTTGTGCAGTAATATTAATATTACTGTACAACACTGTGATTTATCAAAATAAAATCTTATCCATAATGGAGTTATGTGTGGAATTGACTAGATATTTGAATAAAAATCACTATAGGATAATGTACATTCAGAAATAGTAATATGAGCGTTATTGATCAATTACAATCAGATAGGAAATAAGACAACTGTTCTATAGTCACAATAAGTTACTTGTTAGAATGTTGTGATTTTTTTGAACTGAAATAGAATTTTGAGATTACTTATTATCCCCCTCTGATTTGACTGGCGGTAATAATATCTTCCATATTTCTGGTATTTGCATGGAGTCACTTCTGTCGCATGTGTTGGGTGTAGACTTGATGAACAAGGATTCCGTAATCAACCTCTCTCTCCACCTACTTATATTACGTTTTAAAATTTAACCCTATCCCACCCTATTGTGTGGTTGTTTGTTAATGCGTGAAGTGCAATAGCTGAGCTTTCTTCTAAATTACTTATCTTTTCAGAGTCAACCACTCTTACCTTAGTTTCTAAATTCTTATGTTCTGATAATCTGACTATCCCTGACCTACTAGTTTGACCTATGTAGTTGACTTAACTCAGAGTCATTGGAGGGTATTTTGTAAATAATATTATTTTGTCTAATTGGGCCAACGGGGTCATTTAACCTACAGAGCTTGGCCCTGAGTGAGTTTGTAGGTTTGAATGCCACCCTAATTCCTGCTTTATTAAGAATCCTACCTAGGGTCTCAGATGTCCCCTCCTTATATGGTATAACTGTGGATGACTTATATTCTTTCTTATTTGTGTTATCATTAATAGTTTCACAATTATTTTTATTTTACTTTTGGCCTTTTTCGACCTTCCTAATGAATTTTATGGGATAGTTATTTAACACCAACGCCTCTTCTATCTGTTTTATTTCATTATTTAGGTCCTTTTTGAGCTACTGCTCGGTTTGTTAGACACTTAACTAAGCCAGCCTTAACAGTTAAGGGATAAGATGAATTAAAGTCTAAATATCTATTAGAATGTGTTGGTATTTTGTGCACACTAGTGTGCAGTTTACCGTCTTATATTCGTTTTATATTACAATCTAACATCGCTAGTTCTCCTTGTTCATCTTCCGATTCAAATGTGAATTTTTATTCCCTGTACTAATGAGTTTATGTGTGTCAAGAAGCAAGAGATGTGTTCTGTTTGTGACACTGTGAAAGTGTCATCCACATATCTCCATCATATTTTTGGAGTAGGATTAAATGTATGGACTATGTATGTACTAGTAGAGGGAATAAAATCCCAATAACTAGTCAAGTCCACACATGTATATCAATAAAAGAAAAGTTGTGTGAGTAAGTTGATATGATTATGAGCAATAATTTGTGCTCGAAACGTCACCAGTTAATATAACTGTACAACACTGTGTGACTTATCAAAATAAAATCTTATCCATAATGGAGTTATACTCTACCACAGTGCCAAAGTTTTCATGCTTGTATCAATAATACATATAGGTGACTTGATTTTGATGAACTTTCATGAGAACTCCGGTAATTCTAGAAGCCTGTTACTCATAAGCACTGCACTACTAAAAGCAATCAGTCTTCGACAAATAGCCCGATAGAAAAATGAATGTGGTGTAAATTAGCTACTCCGCACATGCTTTTTATAGGTCTAATTCACCTTTCTCACTGGATTCAAGTAACAATAAAAACTACCATTTAATTATATAATTTATTCCATATGTACCGAATATCACGGTAAGTAGTCAGTTTCCCGCAAGAAAAAGAGGTAAATTAATTTATCAAAGATCAGTTATGTACAGCGCAAATATGATAGATGCTAAACATCAGGAAGAGAGTAAATCAATCACGCACAATATCAGCAGAAAATCTGCAATTATGCATTAAAAACTCGATATAAGCAATGCACAGCCTCCACAGAATACAAGTGAGGACTGGACATCAATCTGAAAAGTTTGAATCACTGGTAGAAAATAATAATACTATATACAACAATGTAATATCTCTTGTGAAAACTGCATAGTTTGTGAAATATATGTGTCATGTGTTCGTTCATCCAAATAGTAATGTTTCTGCTTTCATATTAAGACGACCCTGACGTTTCATAGCAGCACGATTATGCCGCTTCAATTGACGATTGAAGTCAACCTGCTTTTGACGTCTTCTTTCGCGACGTTGACGTTCACGAATCTCCTCAACTGTAAATGCAGATGGTGCCTAAAGTAGAAAAACAAAAGGAATAATTGAAATTGTTTTGTACCACAGTAAGAATGTTAAAATAAAATTCTATGGTACACTGTATCTGGGCATAGGTAGCATACATCTCACTCAGTTGAAATGTCCTTCTGTTTTCGACATGGAACTTTGCACTGATGTGCGGCAGTTCAATTCGCTACACTCCATGTAGCACACAAAGCAACAGAAGAAAGTAGAAGAAATGCACAATAGAGACAGTAAACAGAGGTGTGAGACAAAGGAATAGTAGCAACGAAGAACAAAACAGTTTCATTGGAAATCATAAGTCACAAGAAGTCGATGCATCTGCACTGGCCATTGAGAACGATTCTGAGCCATGTCACCAATTGTTTCCAACCATTGGTTTTTACCGTCCCGAGGACCCCAACCAGGAAGTCTACACCTTCTTACGTGACTTAGACTAATTGCTGTAGATTTCATTGACTGGTGCCATGTTTTGGTTTGACCACCGCTAAATCTTTTCCAGCCTGACCCTATGTCAACTAACATTTCCTGATGTCAAGGAAGGCGATAACTAGGCAGGAATGCGTAACACATGTCCTAACCATGTCAGTCGATGTAATTTCACAGCCTCGTCGATTGATTTCCCCTGTTTTCTGTTTTAGACATAGAACTTTGCACAAATGTGCGACAGTTCAAGTCGCCACATTCCGTGTAGGCACTCGACCAGTGCCTAACCTCAATGTTGCTCACCTTATTATGCCACTTTACACGGGAAATAGAGCGCAGGCAACTATGATCAAAGACAGCTAGCTACCATTTCCATGTCTTCCACTCTCAGTGGTCAGGTCTCACAGCCATAAAAGAGGACGGAGCGGACTGATGAGCAGTACAGCCGCCTTTTGGTCAATAGCCAGCCATATATCACGTCTACTAAGCCAGAGACGGCGTAAACTGGCATATGCGAAACTAGCCCCCTGTATTCGTGCTGAGATTTCGTCAGAGATCAACCCGTTGCCACTGGCTGATGGTACTTCCCAAATAAGTGAAGCGGTCAACGTGCTCTACCACTTCACTTCCTATTTTTAAACTAGGTGTCCATGTAGTTCAGTCCTGTAACATCATCTTGCATTTGGCGGGAGCGAATCGCATGCCAAACATTCGTAGATTGCAGATCAATGTGTTAAGAAGACTCTGCATTTTGTCAGCGTCCTCGCCTAGAAGGACTATATCGTCTGCATATTCTAAGTCAACGAGATTATTCCCTGGTAGCAAGTCAATCCCTGAGTCTCTGAAGTGAGTTTGGGTTAAGTCCCCCAGCTGAAATAATTTTTCCTACGTATCTGTACGCAGCGTCACTGTTCATTGTACAATTGTTAATATCGGAAAAAAAGTCCAAAGTCCTATGAAAAAGCACTGGTCATTCAAAATACCCCTAAGAGCCTTGATGGCTGTTACATCAGCTTCTCTTTAGTGAACCACTGGATTTTACTCCAAGGCGACCATTACAAACTAAAGCTGTGTACGAGCCAGCCGACTTAACCAACTCAAATAAGATGACGTCCTCCTAAACTAGAGTTTTTCTAGGTCTAAGTAATTATAGACGGGAAATTCAAAGGCATCATTTAAATAATCTTAACCGCCAATAAAATAAACCTACGGTTTTAGTCTTCATAATTCGCACATCAGTATCATTCGCTGTATTTGAATACTTCACACTATCTGTGGCGCATTCTTCATCACTTTCGGACTCTGACTCTTCTTCTTCCGTCTCAGATTTCTGTTCGTTATCGCATTCCGATTTTGATTCTGCAGCGGAATCTGTATTGTCCAACTCGGATTCACCGTTTTCGCTTTCGCTTTCTCCTTCTGTTGATGATGACGATGACAATTGTAGTCGAGCGACAGTACCCAACAGTGAATCGTCAACTGTGTGCCGCAGTCGACGATGGTTATTATTATTATTATTGTGGGAAATATAGCCTGGAGCTTTCAACTGTACGTCGATATCGCTAGTACGTCTGTGTTCATCAAAACAAAAAACATTAAAATGTTCATCTTTACATACTCTGAAAACAATAAACAAAATGCACTATATGTCAAGATCATGTGTGAATCCAAATCATTGAATGAAAATCTGGATACCTGTTTTAACTGAGACTGTAAACATAGCATGCTGCTTTATGCTTAACTGTGAACTTACTCATTCTTGCATGAAACTCGTAAAGACGACCATCAAAACTTTATACAATCCCGCTCAACTTACTTTCAGTATTCATATTCGTCAAAACTTGAATTTGAACATCAAACCCATTATTCATAGGCTGTGTAACATGTAAATGCACTCTACTAGAACTGAGGCTATTATCATTTAAGATAATGATATCTACTATTTGATAGTGTGAAATATTCCCATATTATGAATTAAAAGTCAATCTGAACGAAGAATATTCTTTTCAATAATTTCTCCTATTCAGGTTCTTACAATTATAAAATATAATATTTGTGGCCGTTACACAATAAAGGTAAGTTATGCAGCGGATACATTTTTAACGTAGAATAACAGATTAGTTAGTTTAGAAGGCTAGAGACCAAAGCCCAGTATACACACTTCGTTAGCTTCGTACCGATGAAATACAAACGTAATCTCATCAGGTGCTTAGCATTTACAGCGAGGTCTATTTGTTCCGAAGATTGCGTAGAGAAAGAACTCAAGGTCATTCGAGACATTCTAAGCGAGAACGGATATCCAGAGAAGTTCATTAAAGCCAACATAGGTTACAATAGTCGTAAACATGAACTAGCAACGATGGAGAAAAAGCCTCTGTTTTTACATCTCCAATTCAAGGGAGATACTCCCGCGGAGATTCTATCCCAAAGTTTAACCAGGGCGATCAAGAAATCTTTCTACTCTGCACGTGTGTCTATCCTTCACTAGCCGTCCAATGTTCACCCAGCAACTCAAAGATGTCTTACCTAACCTTAGCTCTTCTTCATGCATATACCATTTCAACTGTTCCTGTGGTTCAAGTCATATGGGGCGCACGATTAGGCAGGTTCGTCTACGGGTTCGAGAACACTTACCAGCTTGGTTCAGCAGGGGGAAATTAAGTGCATTGAAAGCTCGATCCTGTCAAACTTGGTCGATACTGAACATCGTGTCGATGTCAACACAGCCTTCAGGGTTATATACCGAATTCTGAAGTCGTTATCACGTACAGTTCGCTTACGTCTTCTGAAGCTGTTGTAATAAGGTCGACTAAACCGGAACTTTGTATCCAAAAAGAACACGTTCAGACGCTGTTCCTACCGTGGCCAACCTTGGTTTGAAGATTTTTATTCTCACCAAGAGTGCCCCTTCCGCTTAACCCCCTTGGTTTTTTTTTACTTTGCTTATTATTACAAATAGTATTATTACAGTTATTATTGTTCATCATAATTTATGCCCTTCATGCAAACATTCCCTCAATACTATCGAATTTTTCATTTATATGGACTTATTATTAGTGATATTATCTGTTTTCTTAATATATGCCTCCACCTGTTTCATTTAACATATTCGTTATCTCATTATGAACCTCTCATTGCAGTCTTACTATCCTCTGCTGAAGACAGACCACTTTGTACTAGCCACTCACCTGACACCTTCGATCACCTTGAACTGATTTGTCAATTTTCCTACCCTACACTCTACAATTCTATTATGATTAATCACCACCATTGTCTCCCGTTTTACAATATTTCTAATCGATTTCAGCCTAGCACGTTTGTCACACCAATATGACTATTTATGTTGACACCCCATAACGAATCTGTTATTCTACGTATCCGCAGCATAACTGGCCTTTATTGTAAGGACCACAAATATTATATTTTATAATTGTAAGAACCTGAATAGCAGAAATTATTAGAAAGAATATTCTTCGCTCATAGTGACTTTTAATATCCACTATTGTTTGTTATCCACAAATTAGTTTTTATTTTTGCTAAATTAACACGATAGTATCATTAGCAAAATACAACTGCAAAAGCCAGGACCATTCATTGAACCAGAATGTTTAGCATGAATTTTGCAAAAGTAAGATAAAAAAAACCACTTTGCACCGATACAGATTACAATCATAGTACACGAAGTCTGTCTGTCTGTTTTCGACATAGAACTTTGCACAAATGTGCGGCAGTTCAAGTCGCCTGTATTACATGGAGTAGAATAAAGATGGATAGACAAACTGTTACCGAACCAATCAGTAAGAGCAATCCATGAAGCTAAGGACTGTTTACTCAAATAATCTATGCTAAACAGTTCAAGTGGTTGAAATATCCTATACAAACATAATATCATAAGTGGCACAAATAAAAACAACATATAAAAGCGAGTTGGGTGTGAGGGCAAAAACTCGTCAGTGATGACATTCGCTGGCGGTCGCGCTACATACTGAAATGGCAGAAGTTGATATTCATGTGCTGTTTAGGGTCATTGAAGGATTTAAGTGAAGGTACAAGACTAAGTAAAAGTAATTTCTCCATAGTTTTCAAAAAAGGAGAGGTAATAGCAATGGCTCTAAATCTGAAACATGCTCCAGTAGATAATTTGGGTATAGGTACAACTTTGATGTCCTTCCAAACGACAGGCACAATATTACTGGAAAAGATTTGTTAAACGGATCAGTGAGAGGGGGACACAGAATATCAGAACATTTTTTAAAAATAATACTAGGTACATAATCTGGACCTAAGCTCTGCGAAGGGCTTAGAGACTTGAGGCACTTTTGAACATCATTTGTGTTAAAACCTGGAAATGGGCTATTATTAACACTAGTGATGCTGGGAAGCATGACATTTGAGGGAGAGTAAATAAAAGACTTATTAAGAGTACATACATCAAAAGAATATGGAATATTGTTTATCTGCTTACCACCAGTGATTCCCTTAAATAGTTTCCACATATTAGAAGCATTTTTACAGGATATGAATTTCTGGTTATATATTACATTCAACCTCTGCATTTCAGACTTAATGAAGAAGTTAGTTCTTTTTACACCACTTTTATCTCTTATTTTATATAGTTTTTCCTTCTCTCTACGAAGCTTTTTAAGTTGAGGCGAGGAGAAACGGTCAAATTTGACGAATAGTGTTTCTTTTGGACAGCAGATTTCGAAACAGAATTTCAGATACGATGCAATATTAGAGATAGTGTCATCGAGTGAATCATCATTAAACAAATCCCATCTGGTGTCACTGAGCATGTTTCTAAGATGATGTACGTTCTCATTTGAGTAACATCTGTGAACAACTTTCTTAGACAAGTTTGAGAAGGCTTTGCTGTGTAACTTTCCGTAAATTTTGGGTAAGACTCATACAATACAGTGATCAGGATTGAAGAGCGGAGCTGTTTTACGAGCTTCGTATATTCTGATCACTGTATTGTACGAGTCTTACCCAAAATTTACGGAAAGTTACACAGCAAAGCCTTGAGCTACAAATCTTCTCTATCATACAGATAAGTAGATGATACATGATCATAATGAAAGCTGAAAAAGAAAACTCCCTAATAGAGATTAACTTAATCTCAGAATATATAGAGTTTACCAATGAAGTAGAATCGCCTGAGGGAACTCCAAACTTTCTTAATTGTCTTTTAAAAAGACAAACTGACGAGAAACTAAAGTTTATCATATACAGAAAGCCGACACATTCGAACAAGTATTTGAATTTCCAATCAGATCATCCAATAGGAATGAAAGTTTCAGTAGCCTTAAATCTTGTTAACAGAGCTAGTAACATTATAACACATGATGATATGGAGAACGAGGTATCCAATATAAAACAGATTTTGATTGGAAATGGTTATCTGGAAAAGCTACTAGATAATATTATCAATAAAAAAGCATAAGGGAAAGGAGAAAATTGAAAAATCTTGGCTATCGACGATAGCCATTCCATATCGAAAGGACAGAGTTGAACATTTGCTTCATATAATATTGAAGTATATTTCAAGCCCTCTAATTTTTTAGAGAAAGCTTTGGTGAATGTCAAAGATATGGTTCCCAAAATGTCACAAAGTAATTGTGTCTATAGGATATTGTGTTCAGAATGTGAAGCATGCTATACAGGGGAGAGCGGTAGATAGGTGAGGGTCAGAGTGAATGAACATAGACTATGCACGAAACGTCCACCTAGAAATGAAGTAGAATTAAAAAGTCTAGAAAAAAGATCGGCTATAGCAATGCATGCGGTAGACAGCGGACATAAGATTGATTTCGACAATATCGAAATTCTTGGGAGACGATTTCATTCACTTGAAGAGAGGTTGACCTCTGAAGCCTTGCACATTTTAACTACATCGAATGCAGCAAATGTGAAACAAGAGATAGACTTATTACAAATATGGCAAACTCTAATGAAACAAGACACATGAAAAAACAACAAAAACCTCTATGAACCTCCATGACCTTTAAAGAAAAATGTATTATCATGTTCATCGCATGTGAATTGACGTGTTTTCCTTATGACAAATAGGATACACTCAGACACACTCATACCGGATGAGCCAGGCTTTTGGTGCGTCGTTGGCACAGTGGTTAGGACTCTCGCCGACCATGCACATGGTCCGAGGTTCGATTTCCTCTCGACGCACACTTGATATCTATGGTCGGCCTGCAAAATATGGGCTACCGATATCTACATACTGAAAATTCCACACTTGTACCAAAAATAGTGTGAAATCAAGCTGTAAATGAATATATATATATATATATATATATATATATATATATATATATATACAATAAGAAGTTGACATCAGGCATTACAAATATATGATGACTGCTTACATATTTCTATGGGTACAAATGTCAATGGTCAAGTGACCTTCAAATAAACTGGCTTCAATTTCTGTAAAAAAAAATTTCGACCGTATATTTCGATGAATAGTAAAATCCGAATAAATGTACCTAAGAAGCTGTGGCTTACAGTGGGAAAAGTCCAGAAATATCTTGTGTAGATTTTTCTTAAACATGCTGGGATTTTAAGTTTCCAGACTGTAGGTGTTACGAAATTCTCGGAATAATTTGACTACCGAGTTAGACTCATTCATTATAAATTATTTACATCCCAAAGCGTTCAGAGAAATCTTGTTTTGATTTTCTTAACACGCTGGCATCAATTTAATTAATTTTAATGCTGGGATTAGTTGAATTAATTTATATTGTATTGCATTTGTAACTGTCCGGGAGGATGTTCGGATTTACAAATGAGTTCCATATTTTTCATAAGCTGGATGGTTTCAAAACTTTTCTAGACCGCATAATAGGGAAGTATCATGTGGTCAACATAAAGACCTATGTTCATCTAAAATACACTTACTCTACCAATTTATCTTTGAATATTCTTTTTTCTGATTGGTTAATACGCTGCTGGTTTTCTAAGGTTGAATAATAGGTTTTGGTCGTGGTCATTATTCTGTAACTATATATGCGGTTTCAGTTGATGGCGTTTCACAGAAACAAAACCGCAAATAATTGAAAATTAATGTAGAAAAGACAGTAAATACGTCTGTTTTATTTGTTTCTAGGCGTGGGTTTGAAGGGATTTGGTTATTTTCAGGATTTCATCAAGAACTGACATTGGTTAGATAACCTTTGGAAAGCCTGAAGCCAGTGCTGGACAGCTCTGTCAACCACTAGAAGAACTGAATTTATCGTTAATGCATGCTAAAGAGGATTATTGGGTACCTCTGTGTAGTAATTCCACGCAATATCAGGCTTTGTTCAAGAAGAATCAGTGAAGCAGCACTTTTAATGAGAAGTGTTTCCATTTTTATCGGATAGTATATCATAAGGAACTAGAAACCAAATTCGGTTCACTGTTCATCCTTTATTATATTTCTACAATGAGTTTCGTTCGCGTGCAACAAAGCAACAAGACCAAGGAAAAGTCCAATGACCTTAGGCATATACCATAGGGTGTTACCGCTACAGTGCTGATACATACTGTGGATAAGAGACTATATCAGCAGAGTTAAGAAATGGTTGTATTCATTATTATCGTTATTGGTCAATACGGTGTTTATTGCATTGGTTGTCCGATATCATCTGCAAGGCCATTTCTTTACTATGCTCTTATGTAATATATTAACTCCTCATTGACTACCACTAATAATCAGACGAAACACTAGGCTGAGGCACTTTTTACAACATGGAAGTCTGACACATTTAGTAGCTAAGCACATAGAGATTCACGCATAAATAGATACTTACTGTACAGTCACCCTGGAAAGTAACCTGCTGACTCGTAAAAGTGGTCTACAAGTCATAATGCCGAATTACTCCCAGTAAAACAACTTGTGAAAACTTAGATGTCTTATTATCATTATAGTGCTGCATGTTATATGCAAACGATGATAATTACATCACACTGAGTGATGTAATAAAAATCCTAAACTTGTAACAGGATTGAGAATCAAATTTACTATGGTTCGCTCTCAGCTGTACGTAAATAATATTATGACCCAAACATTGATGAAAACAATACTCAACTGTAGCGCTTTCGTAGCCAAATACAAGGAAGAAGGGGTAACTAATAAGTAACCAAAATATTACAATCGCATTTTGGAAACGAATAAATTAAAAAAATAAAGGTAATCAATCAAACTGAATGCTCAAAACGCACAGGTGTGCGAAGGTGGAGATAAGATAACTCACAGGAAAGCACTTCTAACAGTTTTTGTCAGTGTTAAATGCACAGTAAATTGATGTTGTTAGGCGTTGACAAAACAAAAGGGCAGACAGACAAAAATACATATATTATTTAGATGCTAATAGTTATCACAGAACGCAAGCGACTGCTGTTTGCTGAGAAACAATTGCTAATTTGCCTGACAGTTTTAGAACCGATTCGAGTGTTTATTTTCACTTGTGAAATGCCTTATCAAAAAACAAAAACAGACCTGCTAATATCAGTGATACACAACTAGAGTGCTACTGAAATAAATGACAAGTGTCTATAGTTACTTCAATTTATACATTCTTAGTCAAATGCACAGATGAGTGTTTTAATCAATAGTGGTAACTAAAAACTTACTAAGATTAAACTCACTTAATCGTATCAAGGGAAGACGGCAAATCATCGGATGGAATTTCAAAATATCGACTGAAAAAGTTAACAACGCCTTCCACATCGCGTTCATAAATACTATAAGAAAGAATAGACAAGAGCATACCTTAACATTGAGGAAGCAAAAAGACTAAAACAAAATACACTTGGTCATTTACAAATGTCTTTACCCTTAAGTTGATCACGAGGATCAACTGTTTAGAAGATAAAAACTTGCACTGAATGAATTCCATTATTGTAGTCAATGTTATTGTATTTATTTATATTTGATGTAGTTAACTAAAAGGGAACGCTTAGAGCTGACATGTCGTTATCAATCATCTCATTAGTTTTGTTACGAATCTGGGTTTTTATTTCTACTTTAGGAATGCTGTAATGGAAACTCAACAACTAGTTAGCCAGAGAGGAATTCAGGAGAGTGACTGAAAATTCATGACTAATGAAGCTCAACAAGTTGGATATGACGAAGACACTCGACGGCGATGATTGTTGAAACCTAAAGACAATGATCAAAAGTCAAGTTCCCGAGTTAATCAATCGAACCTGTACAATAAGCGCTTCTCATCTCTTAGATTTGAATTGTCGGATGCACTTTTCCCCAATTTTAAGCTTCATAGCAGTTAGTTAAACAATCTTCATCTTAATACACGTTAAGCAGGCAATATTTTTTCTCTAGAAGGTTAAGAATTGACTATTATCATACATTACGGTTATTCCTGACAGCACAACTAGAGCAATGGCACAAATGTGATTTCTTTATTCTCGCTGACGAACAAGCAGCCGTAGTCAATTATTCTAACTTCTTGGGGAATGTGGCAAATACAGAGCCCGGGATAACTCCAAAATAATCAAAGCACTGTTATGCGCTTGAAAAATACGAAACATTCTCAATTTTCTTGTATTTGGACGGTTGTTTTCTAGGTGACTGTCAGAAGAGTTAGCGAGATTAGTATGAACACAACAGAAAGAAAATCAAAAAAGCGGAAAATACCTCATTTACGCTGTGATCAATAGTTACACGAAAACTAGGAAATAGGAAACATTGTAAAAATCGAAAAATTTTCAAATTAAAATTTTCAAGCTTAAGATGAGAATGAAATATTACGGCATATGACACCAGTAATTCTACGACGCCTTTCGGAATCTCATTGTTAACATCATGCCTTAACTACTGATTACAATACCTGCATTTCCCACAACAAACTCAAATATTTAATGATTTTACGGATTATTGTCAACTTTCGATCCTAACCTTCTTCCGTTTTACTTAATCACGCCATATCATCATAGACATTACTTCAGAATACATGAACCAATTCAGCTGTACATCAGACGACCTACTTCATTTCAGAAACGTTTAATGAACGAAATACCTATGTGACCAGTTAACCTTACATCTGTCCGCGAAAAATAACTTAAATTAGTATACATGAAGAGAAAGTGGATAACTATGAAAGTAAGCATCGATTATCGCTACCTGCCAAATGTACCTCACTAAAGTTTTAATTTACTTAAATAGCAAACTTGTTTAAGTACGGATAACAAGAGAATTGGAACACAAATTGACTGGACAGCAAATGGGGAAATAAAAGTATTGTGCCGATAGAATGAAAACATTTGGACGTGTTACCGGCACCTTAAATATAGTTGTAAGTTGTTTTTTCGAAAACCATTTGTAACACCATTTCATAAAGCATTTGCGAGCGATTTGTATGAGATAAGAAATAGAGATATAATGCATCAATACAAAGTAAATTAGAAACACTGACCTTTTAGCTAATTTATGGTCACGACTGATCATTTGTGGAAAATCAATAAGGACAAGTTTCGGGTCGGTATCCGCTTTCTCATTTGGTGTCGAGTCCAAACCGGTAACCATCAAATTGAATTCATTGAAATCACCATGAACAAGGCCCAGACCAGCTATTTTTTCCAGGATATCCTTCGCTTGGTAATACAAAGCCCGTGCGGTGGCAGATTGGTTAGAACTCAAAACAACTGGAAGTAGCCTGTATAACGGCGAACTTTCTTTCACATAAGACATTAAAACAGCATTCCGATTATGTGCATATGGCATAGGAACAGGAACACCATTATTATAGAGACCCTATGGAATGCAATTAATAAAAATAACCCAGTTACCTGCATCATCTCGAATTCTCGTTTGGACGCTAATCTATCCAAATACAGCCAAGAGCACTTATTTCTGTGTTGATGGTATTCCCTTTTGTTTTTCACTTTTCTGAAAGATGTCCTTCCAAGCCTGTGAAACTTTACAATAACTAAGTCCCCTTCTAGCGGAAGTCCTTCCGAAAGGCCCTCTGATTCATCTGAAGTCTGACCACAGCGTCCACCAGCAGTGCCTATGTAAACGTCTGACTCCTTTCCTGCACCGACCATTGTACCCAAGCTACTCAGCTGTTCGGATTTGAAAAACTGATTCAAAGCAAGGTAATCGTATCCCATGTTAGTAAGACGATATCCTTTTGTTGCTATAACCAAAGAAAGTACAGTTAGTCCTCAGTATCGCGAATATCACTGCTAGCAACAGTTACGGACAGTCAGTGATTTAGGAAAAATCACTAATTGGCTGTAAAAGTAGCTTTCAAATAAGATCATGATCATCACAGAATCCACTTACAATGTCTATTATCTGTTTCATAAGCAACCAAACTATATGGAATTAAGTGCTCTTGAACTAAGCGAATGAAACCTGCACAACTGCGTTTAATATGTGAGATTTTGAGTGCCAACTCAGGAGGAACAACTTCGTGATTTTTAAGACCCATTTCAATCTACAACATAAGGATATTACGAAATCTTTAAATTACTTACAGCAGTTAGGGCTCGCCAAGCTTCAGAGCTTATGTATCGAAAACGATCCATTTTAATGCACTTCGGCATGACGGAAATCTATTTTGGTGGACGGTGTTGATGACAATGCAGAAACAGGAAGTTGTCGAAGCCAGCAAGATTCACCACGCAGTAGCGCACCGTTCTTCATAATGACCGCCGTTCGATACTCAATGAACCTCTTCCAAGACGCTGTAAACTAGATGGTTCATTCTTCCTCTCTTGTTTGTCTAAGAAGATACCTTCATGCTTTCAGTGAGCTTTGCATCAACTTATCCGATCTTTCTCCCGCAAATATCACAGGAGATGGAGTGACCACTGACAAATTAATCATTATTATTATTCCTTTACTTTCCGAGTGGAACATAGAACTTCAGCAACGCACCTCCCCTTTGTTCTGTTTCCTGTTGTCCTCTTAGGCTGGCTAGCTCCATGACTGATTCAACTCTCTCATCTCTTCCTTACACGATCTCCTTCATGTCGCCCTCGCATCAACGACCCAATTGTTGCTTCCCATTGGGATTCCACTTAAGCAATGGCCTAGCGTGCAATGTCATTTGGCGACCTCCACTATGTATGCCCGATCCATCTCCACTTTCTCCTAAATATTTTTGAGTGATCGGCTCTTGGTTGGTTTGTTCCCATAGTTTCATGCTGCTAATTCTTTCTGGTCAGCCATCTGATCTTCAGTATGGAGCCAGCGAAGCGAGCAGCTGTTGATGAAAGTCTTCACTGATCTTTTGGCCATCCTTTTCGTGACTGACACGCAGTGCAAGTTTCTCACCTGTATAGAAGGATGGAAAATACATTGGCGTTGAAAATGCGAATCTTGTTCCTTATTCTGAGTACAGAAGGTTTCTAAACTGCCTTCAGGTTGATGAAGGAGTATCTTACCACTCCGATTAATGGGTTCTACTTTGCTTTGAACCGATCTGTAACGAAGGCATCCCATGTAGTTTTCTCCTTCAGTTTCTGAATGTTGAACTTGAATTGTGGTCTACCCCATTTATTTCCATGGATTGCAGCTTCACCGTGAAGATTCCTTGAACTAGATGATGTTCTGAGCCCACATCTGCTCCCCTTCTCGACTTGGTGTCCAGCAGGCTGCGTCTCCACTTCCTTGAGCAGCACTGACGTGAAGTCTATTTATTTTATGGTGTGTCCTTCAGGTGGAATCCATGTTGCTTTGTGAATATTCTTGTGCTTGTACATGCTGCCTCTGATTATCAAATCACTGAAGTCAGAGAAGTCTGCGAAGAGTCCTCTGTTCTCATTCATTTCGTCTGGTGAGGGCCTCTCGACCCATGGTGAATTCTTCTTCCGCATTGTCAACCACTAGTTTGGAACTCATGTTGCCCATGGGGAGGGATTTTGATGACATCATTTGAGATATTGTGCATTCCTGTTCACAGTTGTCTATATAAATCTTCCTTCATCTCTTGTTCCGCGTTGGACCGTATAAGAAATGGCAACAAAGAGATGACAGAATAACCTTCAGCAGGAAAACAACGGGTCAAAAGACGTTGCCTTTCTGTTGACAATAACGAATAATAATGTACATAAAGATCTACAAATACCTGTTGATTTTCTCGATAAACGATTTGTTTCCTGGTCTTTGTCTTCTTTAGTTACAACATTACCGGTTAAGGAGTTCCAATTAGTGACCACACTGTTTGGGAATCCGAACACCACACGTGTTTTTTCTGATCATGGTTTGCACACCCATAGCCGAATGGAAGGAAATACAGCTACGCCACGATTGCCAGCCACCGTACGCAAATAGTGTTGGCGAAGTAAAGGCAGTAATAAATTAGACGAGTGATGAGAAGTGCACACAGCACAGATGTCTGAAGCTAACTTAAATCAACAAACGATGGGATCTATTCTTGATTGTTAGGACGAAAGAGGTCCGTTTAACTTTCCTATCGTAGGAATTAACTACTTGCTACTGCAAGCGGTTCATCATGGATGAGGCGGTGGAAGGAAGGAGAGGTGCGTATTTACGAGTCTACAGATGCGTTCCTGAAAACTGGTGCATTCCCAGTGCCTTGGATGTGTCCTTAAGGAAGCGAAAAAACTCCAATATAATTTTGTTATGCCAGCTTATGAATCTCAAAGACGCGCAAACGTGTGTAAAAAGCGCGAGACAGGTTGGTATATGGTGTCCTTCACGTGCTAACCAGAGTAGAATATGAGAAAAAAATGGAACTTTCTGTTCTCAAACCGCCGAAAGTGATTTCCAGTGACCAGATATTGCACGATGACATCCTAGCAACCTGATTCCCCAAAGTAGATAGAATCCAAAAAAATCACCTCATTGTTCCAATGGCATCCTGTGTTAAACATAACTCAACCTTCATACCTAACACTAATGGAACAAGAGTATAGCACCGAAGACTGCTGAAGGATGTATTATAGACATTGACGTCGGTTCTTGTCTGCATATTTGTCTCGCAGACAGCTCTCACCACAACCTACTATGCGCACAGTGGTGCCATTATTTGTTTATCACTACACCGAAGCTAAGTCAAAGCAGTTATCTGCAGGAGTATATGGCCGCACAGACTTAAACCTTCCTCACACTTCAATAGCCCTACAGATGGTATTGGCTTCCTTTATGTTGGCAGGCGAGAACCGTTCAACAGGTATGAGCCTATGTCAGTATGTAGAATCCACCTGTCTGCCAACTGGAGATAAAACCGTACTCTTGATAGAAAGATTATCTGACCAGATGCAGCCCAGATGACAGTTGCCTGATTGGTTTTTCTTAGGCGTGGAAGTCCATTAAATTTAGCAAAAGTCACGATTCTTGTCTGTTTACTTTCTATTTCCACATATGAACAGAATGGTTACAGTTACCACCAATGAAGGAATTATCTTCATGAGAAACTCAAGCGAAAGGTACATTTGTGGGAGATTTAATGAAATGAGTCTTAATGCTGCATTAGGAAGGCTGTAAAGGTTATGAAAATGTCCCTCAAAGTGTACATAGTCTAATATACACAAGTCAGTGATATCAATCCTGAATAAGTTAGAGACGTTAGTCGAATTCGCAACAATTACGCACAATATTAGTTGCACCTGTTTGTAGAAAACGTATCTGAATGAATAAATCTGAATCGGTATCTCACGTCCATAAATAAGTGGGATTCACAACTTTGCTATAGTACTGTGTTAGACATAGACGTGATAGTACATAAGAAGTTAGACCCACTATTTCGAACATGTCAGAATTGAAAAAGCAATCTTGAAAAAACAAACAATTAATCATACTGAACAGTGATGCTGTAGGTCTTTTTTCGGATGCACTGCTTAGTATATCAGGGTTCTCCTTAGGGTGTTAATCATCTTACCGTCTGAGAAACAGACCGCCCCACTAACAATTTTCTTTTGCTGCCAACAGCCTGGAGATGTGCTTGGTAGTCGACTATAGCAAAAAGCGCAAAAAATAGGTTTTGATTTTTGCAATGCTACATAATATGACCCTCATTATTTGACCTGCAGTAACCAACTCTCCATTTCCAAACAGACGACTCACCTTTGAATGTAAACTCCTGGCCTGCGTACTTAAGCTTCAAACGATATTTCCAGAAAGGCTACCTGGTTGATGGCAAACTTATCTCAAAGTAATGGATAGCCAGTGCGAATAGAAAAAATTGTCCCTAAATGTTTTATTCCCACTTTGAATTAACCCTCTAGTCTCGCTGTTCATGAAGGACTACTGAAAAAGGAATTAGTGAAAAAATCAGCCTCAATTCAGGCATTGTCGATGCTGGTGAACACTGAATCGTTTATTCTAAATGGTCTCCACTTAGCGGAAGACGGTAAGGTTATCATCGCTTAGTAATAAACTGGTTAGCATAAGACTGAAGCGATGATGGCACAGTGGTTGGGACTCTCACCGACCATGCACATGGTACGAGGTTCGATCCCCTGCCGACGCACACCTGATATCTATGGACGGCCTGCAAAATTTGGGCCGCCGATATCCATGCTGAAAATGCCATACTTGTACCAAAAATACGGTGTGGAATCAAGCTGTGATCGAAAAATAAGAATCTAATACCATCAGAAGTATCGTTGTATATTTACAGATATCTTTGACAGTTACCTGTATTTCTATCTAGTTATCGATGAGAGAATGCATAGTCGGATTGCATTCGTGCTTTCTGTTGTTCCACGTTGATCACTGTGCGTAGTGTTCTGCACATCAGGTAAAGTCATCCGGAACCAGAGATAGGTCCAGAATCTTTTCGATCTGGATATTTGAGAGACGCCTAGCAATACACAAGTTAGTCAGGCGAGACCGCTGGTGCTGGAGTTTTCCCAGAGCACACAAATTCGGCCGATGGATGAGGATGAATAATGCCCCCCATTATTCAGAACATTTCACTGATATTAGGCACGTGGTTCTTCGAGGTGTATTATTATTGTTCCCTCGGTTTCCCAATGGAACATAGGTCTTCAATTGCACGTCTCCACTTGCTTCTGTCTTCCTTCTGCCGTACTTTTCACCTGTATCCATGTTAGTCCATACTGTCTCAACTGCTCCTCTTCACACGATATCCTCCATGTCACCATTGGACGTCCCACTCACCGCTTCCCTTTCGGCCTGGTTCCACTCGAGTAATGGCCTGACGCATGTGCGATGTCACCCAGTGGCGGCCTCCTCAGCCACGAGTGTCCAATCCATCTCCACTTTCTCCTGCATATTTGTTGGGCGATTGGTTCTTGCTTTGTTTGTTCCCATAGTTCCTTGTTGGTGATTCTTTCCGGCCATCTGACCTTCAGTATAGAGAAAGGACAGTTGTTAATAAAGGTCTGCAACAGGCTGTTGGAAATCTTCTTTGTGACTCATCCGCCAAGTTTCTGATCCGTATAGAACAGCTGACTGACTTGACGTGTTTGTATTGAAAATCCGACCGAATTTTGTTGTTAATGCTGGGTAAGTGAAGAAGATTTCCAGATTGGTTGTTTCAAGTTGATGAATATGTTTCTCGCCTTCCCGATTCTCACTCGATTTGACATCGTTGTCCGTTCCGACTGTCTGT